AAATAAATAAATAAATAAATAAATAAATAAATAAATAAATAAATGAGCCTCCTATGCCGTTTGGAAACAAGACAGACAGGGGAAAAAAAACCAGTTGCAATCAAGAGATTCTTGCAAAACTGCACCTGGACTTTTAATTATTATTTTTTGAGTGGGGAAAGACACCTGCTAGTTCAAAAAGGGATTTTCAATTCCAGCGGGGGGGGGGGGGGGGGGTTATTTGTTTTCCCAATCTGCAAAAGAATACGGGCCAAAAGATACGACTGGAAACATGTCGTTCCTCGTGTGTGACGGGCAGCCTCCCGACACAACCCCGAAACAGAAAAAGGAAAGGAGGGAGAGACAGAGAGAGAAAGCGGGGGGAGGGAGGGAGAGAAAGAAATGAATAATAAGGTATTTCCATGCAATCTAAAAGGATGGTTTACATGCAAAGCTCCAAGTACCAGGTCAAAGTTTGCCTCCAGGGGTCGCTTCTGTGATCGGAGAGCTGGCTGAGTCTTAATTAGCAGGCAGCGGAATACATGGCGGTATTGAGGAAGAGGGGTTGAAGCACAACACACACACACACAAAAAAAAACAGCAAGCAGAGATGTGTCAAAAAGGAGAGCAACGTTGTGGAGAAGGCGGAGAGAGAGAAAAAAATAAATAAAATGAATGCATTATCACAGTGTATTTTTTTTTTGAAAAACAAAACAAAAAGAATTCAGACAACAAAAGCATGCACCACAGATAGGTTTGCAACAGTTAAAATGGACAAAGAATAGCTATTTGGGTGGGTGGGGGGCTGGGGGGGAACCAGACCGTCTCCCCTGGGAAGCTCGGTCCCCCTTTTCACAAGTAACGCAGCAGGGGGGAAAGGTGAGTAGGATCAGAGACACACACTTCACTCGGGGGAACGAAAGCGGCGCCAGGGCACAAGCTCCGCCCCTTCCGTGGTGGGTGTGACGCCATCCCGGTGTGCGTGGGAAACGAGGGCCGGAGCTTCCGCCCTGATGAAGCTTCCATCACAAATAGCTCTGAATCAGGAGACCCTTTCGCTGAAGGATTCGCACCGGGGATCCCTGGCCTCTAAAGCTATTCTGCAAAATAGGCCCCCCGGGGTTTCTAAGATGATGTCTCTGTAATGTGCAAAAATAATAATAATAATATAATGAGGTTTCCTGCTTCGTCCATGCTTCCCCCTCTCTCCCTTCCTTTTAAACCAGGGGTGTCCAACTTTGGTAACTTTTTAAGACTTGTGGGTTTCAACTCCCAGAATTCCCCAGCCAGCAAGTAGTCGAAGTTGGGCCCTCCTGGCTTAAAACATTTCTTTGGTTTTAAATAAATAAATAAATAAATCTCCCATTTTTAAAATGCACTCTAGGGAATAAAGATGAGATTGTGTGAAACGGTGCTCCCCGTTTGCCCAGGAAAGCTTTGAGGAAAGCTTCTGGTTTTGAGGACTGAATTGGTGGTGCTAATCAGAAAGCCGACTCAGAAGGAAGCCCCACCGTTTTCAGAGAGGCTCACTTCGGCGTAACTTTAAGTATCTGTGAAAAAAGGGATGAGCTGGGCATCTGTATCTGTGAAATATTCTGGACAAGCATAGGGCTTTTCCAGAAAGAGGTGATTAGCGTATATTTGAAATCCCAGGATTTCTTCCCAACTTAAGAAGGAGCCATTTATTCTCAAAGATTTTAACCTCCAGGGAATTCTGCATGCCTTCCCAACCACACCCTGCCTTTCTCCAAGATGACCAAGGACGATTTGAGAAAGCGTTCCATCTAAATTCTGCTCGGAGCGAAATCCACTTCCCTTCAGTCTTTTTCATGCTATGACTCGGGTAGGGGACAAGGCCGAAAGACCCCTGGGCAGAACCAAGTCGGTGTGAAGGAGAACCTGCCTCCCATTTCTTTCCAGTTCCTGATCCCTGATGCCACTTGCTTACAGCTGCTGAAGCAAATCACAGCTGCCTTCTGAATAAAAAAATTTGTCGGTGAATGTTTCTTTCTCTGTCTCTCTGTTTTGCCCATCGATCAATCAACTAACCAGCTACCGTGCCACCTTAAAAGGTGCCACGGAGGGCAGGCTTTGCCCTTCATCAGTGCCAGTCAGGGAGAGTTGGCGAGAGGATGGGGTGGGGAGTTAATGAATATTACAGGATAGTTTGTAGCCAGCTCTGAAAACAAGCAATCGGTATTTTAATGCTGGGTAGGGGAATAAAGTGGCATACGGCTAAATAAAGTGTATGGTGACAAGGGGCAGCATGGGTTCAGCATGAACTGGGGTGAAGTGGGGAGACAAACGTTACAGGTAGCATGTCAGGAATCAGCCCTGATCCTGGGAGCCGATTCTTCAACAAACTTGCCCATGAGAAGCCTGACCATCAAGGTGTTCTCTTTTAGTGACAAGACCCACCCAAATCCCATCTTAGTGTCCATGGAGATGCTCCGTCATCCAGGTCCCAAAAGTGTTTTTTCAAGAGGCACCTGGGTTTCCTTTGTTTTCCCTTTGAAAACGTCCCGCTTGTCATCCCAGAAGCTTTTCTGGTTCTACTGAATGATGAGAAATGGAATACATAAATCCTTCCATTCCCCCCACCGTTCAGTCAGAACTGAAGAAGCTCCCGGGATAACAAGCGAGGTGTCTTCAACCGAAAATCAAAGGAAGCCCAGTTGCCTCTTGAAAAAAGGAGCTTTGGGGCGATTGGCTTCTTCAATGTGGAGCTGAATGATACAGAGATGGGTGGAACGGCATAAATTGGCTTGGTGAAGGCCAGGTTGGATGTTAAAGAGGGAATTCCCAATGGCTCTTTCTTGTAAACTTTCTATGCCGAGAAAGGAAGAAGAAAGAAAGGAAGAAAGAAAGAAAGAAAGAAAGAAAGGACGGAAGAAGAAAGAAAGGAAGAAAGAAAGGACGGAAGAAGAAAGAAAGGAAGAAAGAAAGAAAGAAAGAAAGAAAGGACGGNCAGAGAGAGATCATTTGACAGAAGGCGATCATCTACCAGGAGGCCCTCTACAAGAGAACCGCATTTCAGGAGGAGGTCATCAGCTGACCGAGGGAGGACATTTGACAGGAGGAAATCTTCTGACAGAAGGAGATCCTCCGCCAGAGAGAGCCCATCTGACAGAAGGCGATCATCTACCAGGAGGCCCTCTACAAGAGAACCACATTTCAGGAGGAGATCATCAGCTGACCAAGGAAGGCCATTTGACAGATGGAGTTCTTCTGACAGAAGGAGATCCTCTGCCAGGAGGCCCTCTACAAGAGAACCATATTTCAGGAGGAGATCATCAGCTGACCGAGGGAGGCCATTTGACAGGAGGAAATCTTCTGACAGGAGGAGATCCTCCGCCAGAGAGAGCCCATCTGACAGAAGGCGATCATCGGCCAGGAGGCCCTCTACAAGAGAACCATATTTCAGGAGGAGATCATCAGCTGACGGAGGGAGGACATTTGACCGGAGGAAATCTTCTGACAGAAGGCGTTCCTCCGCCAGAGAGATATCTTTTGAAAGAAGAAAGTCATCTCTAAAGTGGCAATATTTCAGAAGGAGGTCATCAACCAGACCGATCTTCAGAAGATGGTCTGATGTATCATCAGGTATCATTACTGCTAAATTCCTTCTCACTTGCTCTTCTTCCTTTCTCTTTCCATCAATGCGATCAATAATTTGATATGAATTCTTGCAACCGACCTTTCAAGTTTTTGGGGTCAACAAATGCTGCTCATTGTGCAGAGATGTTGATATCACCATTACGTTCCTGCATGTACTTACACGATGAATGACGTCTGGCCAATTTTTTCTTTTAAGCAGTAATTGTTATTGATCGATGGGCATCTTGGCTGGCATCCAATGAAATACACATTTGATTCAACTTCAAATTTCTCACAAGGAGGCAGCCACTGATGCTTAGTAACAAATAGCTTTTCAAAGTAGGACTTCCTAAGGACTATATGGTATACCGCTAAAGTTTGCTAATGAAAGAGCAAATGCCATTAGACATCCTCAGGTTTTGGGACTGTCTTTTTGGTTGGATCTCATCTTTGCCAACTTCTCCATGTGTTTCTTCATTTCCTTTATTTTTCTCTTGCTAAGATTTGGCTTAAGCAAAAAACAAAAAAAAACAAAAAAAAACAACCCACCAAGCGTAGAACATGCTCTTTGGATTATGATGACCGTCTTGTATACTTCGGGTCAGGATTTACAAGCTTTGTAACTTACTAGTATTCTCATTCTCTGCAGATGAGGAAAGCTTTTTTTCTGACTTAGAAGATTATGAGAGTGACTGGGATTCAGGTAAGCACATATTTCTAACTTTGCATCCAACACATCTAGGGGAAATTTGTTGTTCAGTTGGCTAAAGAAGATTTTGCTAATTCAACATTTTCCAAAGGTGTTGGCTCACAATTTTAAAGTCATTACCAGAACCAGGAAAAAATGTGGTAATTGGTAGGGAAGCCATAGTTCAGCACACTTAAGAACGTCAGATTAGGGGAAACAGCTCTAACGTATCATGGATTGGGTTGCTTCAAAATTTCAGACTGTAGAAAAATTGAGCCAATGGGCTCCGGTGGTTAGAATCAGACTTTTGCTCGAGGAAGGCAGGTTTAATACGGTGTTTTGAGTTCAGAATGCAATGTTTGGTTCAAATAAACCAATGTTGGCTTTACACAACACTCTTTTAATATAATCCACAGTTTACAGCCGTTTGCACAATATGAAAATCTATATTTATGGCTCAGAACAAATCCTGCCAATTATGCTAGTCAAGAAAGCAAGATCTAAAGATGACTTGAGAACAGGATAAAAATGTAGGCCTTTTGTACAAGGCAGGCCAGAGGAATTGTGTTATCTTAAGAAACTGGGTGTGATGGAATTCTACACTGATGAGTAAGCAAAGCTCAGCTTTTTGAAGATTCCCTGCATTTGTCATTTAGATGGGTCTTCGGACATGGGGGATTCTGAACATACTTTGAGCACAACGATCAAGACAAACATTCAGATGGACCAGGAAGGTCTTGGTATCATTCTTATTCAGAATGGGCCTTATCTCCAGATTTCTGGCCTGGTAGAGAAAGGCGCCTCTGCCAGAGATGGCAAACTCCAAGCAGGTGAGATGAAACCACAAAACCAATTTGAGACCATGCATTTACAACAATGTAAATGGATTTAAGTTCCCAGGAGTAAAAAAACAAAACAAAACCCCACCATAAACTGCAGTTAAACTCTGTCACTATCCAGGAGAGATTACAGGTAGTCCTTGACTTACGACCACAATTGAACCCAATATGCTAAGTGAGACATTTGTTATGTGAGCTTTGCCCCATTTTTACACTCCTTCTTGCCAGTTGTGAAGTGAATCGTTGCAGTTGTTAAGTTAGTAATACGGTGCTTAAGTAAATCTGGCTTCCCCATTGACTTTGCTTGTTGGAAGGTCACAAATGGGGACCACGTGGCCGTGGGACACTGCAACCATCATAAATGAGTTGCCAAGCATCAAGTGTGAAAAATGGCCCTGAGTCACGTTTTTCAGTGTTGTAACTTCAGATGGTCCCTAAACAAACTGTTGTAAGTTGAGGACTACCTGTATTATTGTGCCTCTTTCACTACCTCCGTAGAGGTTGTCAACCAAATCTTTGGTGGATCATATTTTGTTAGAATGGCTTCTGGTCTTCCATCAGCATTGCTCCTGGCTTCTGCCACTTCATCTCCTGAACTTCCTCAATAGATACATGAAAGGGGAAAGAGTCTTAAGCAGACTCGGACGGTGAGGAGGTTGCGGAGGAAGATGGGCCAGTCCTGGAATCTGGGGAAGGCTCTGATGAGGGCTCTGTGTCGGAGGCAGAGAGGGGGCCAGAGCCGTATGCCAGTATTCAGCTGCCTACGGAGTCAGACATTAGTGGGGCAGACAAACAGCTAGAGCCTCTTCCCAGTGTGCACATGCGCAGAGTTGCCAGACAAAGGGAACAGCTAAAGGAACAAAGGTCGACTAGGGGAATGGCCCCTCCCATAAGGAATAAAAAAGGAACGAAAGGGGAGTGGAGTTTGCAGGAGACAATTAGTTCATTCCTGCATTCTTGCCAATATTGTCCAAGGGTATTTTTTTTTCTATCAACTCAGTAGAACTGTCCATCACGACCTCAAGCAAAACTCCAACTACCCTTTTGACAATCCAAAGGATACACCAGCCTGATCCAAATGGAGCAAGAGTGGGAGCTGACCATGACCAATATTCCCCCCCACCTTCAGGTTATGTTGCATCTGTTGCCCAATGAAGACCATGTGTAACATGTGGCCTCCTACAAAAGCTGGACTCCTCGATAGGTGCTATAAGTACCATTTGATAAAAATCTGTGCTTGTCCTAGCAATGTTCAATCAATCAAACTGCCCAGAGTCGGGGAGATGGGTGGCATAGAAAACTAACCAACCAACCTCCTTGGTGAAGGACTACTTGATTTTTGAGCAATCCACATTTTGGGATGTTTTCTCTTTATTAACTTATTTTGCACACCTTCACAAACACACACAACTATTTTATTGTTATGCTCAAAAGGTAAAGATAAAGGTTCCCCTCACACATGTCCTAGTTGTTCCCGACTCTGGGGGGTGGTGCTTATCTCAATTTCAAAGTCAAAGAGCCAGTGTTGTCCGAAGACTTCTCCATAGTCATGTGGCCGACATGGCTAAAAGCCAAAAACGCACAGAACACTGTTACCTTCTCACCAAAGGTGGTTCCTATTTTTCTACTTGCATTTTTTTATATGCTTCCGAAATGCTAGGTTGGCAGAAGCTGGGACAAATAACAGGAGCTCATTCCATTACGCAGCGCTAGGGATTCGAACCGCCGAACTGCCGACCTTTCTGACTGACAAGCTCAGCGTCTTAGCCCCCGAGTCCCTTATTATGCTTATGTTACGCTTAATTGAAATGGATTTATTTTGAAGTGTACTTTTCAATTGCGTTTCTTAACCACTGATTGGCAGTGAAGAGTAATCCTGGGCCGATTCCGTTTTGGGTTTGTTTGTTTCAGGCGACATCATCCTCAAAATCGGACACGCCAACGTCTTAGGCTGGACCTTGCGAGAACTAAGGCAGCTCCTGCACACCGTTCCCATAGGGACCGTCCTGCAAATCCAGGTTTACAGGGATTTTATTAAAATCCCAAGCCGGTGGCAGGCTGCCCTCATGAGCATTCCTGAATTAAAAGGGCCTGCAATCGAGTAAGTTTTGTTATCTGTCCACATTTTTGAGAAACAAACACTAAAACGGTAGTGACTGTTCCTTGCTCAAACTGACCCTTCTCTACATTTCAGCAGAGAGAGTGATGCCAGCGAAGAAAATTGGACGAGCAGCGAAGACTTGGAGAATGAGAGCGAAGAGATGTTTGAAGAGAGCGAGAGCGATAGTGAGGAAAGCTACCAGGAACCAGAGCGCGTGAGAGCTTTGTCGGTGGGCAGTGCTCGTAGTGCCCGTAGCGGCCATAGCATCCATAGTATCCGTAGTATCCATAGCGGCCATAGCATCCGTAGTATCCATAGCGGCCATAGCATCCGTAGTATCCATAGCGCCAATAGCATCCGTAGTATCCATAGCGCCCGTAGTATCCATAGCGCCCATAGTATCCGTAGTATCCATAGCGTCCACAGTGTCCGTAGTATCCGTAGCAACCAAAACGTCAAAACTCTGCACTCGCTTTCCATCAAGCCTCGAATGAAGCATCAACCCAAGTGGATCTCCAAAGACTGGCACATTTTCGAGAAGAAAACCTATACCTTTACGGTGGGCTCCGACATCGGTTGCGACATTATGATCCACAAGGACTTTGAAACGGAAAGCGAGGCGGATATGTCAACCTTATACTTATCTTCATCCTCGCCGTACTGGACTATGCCCAAACACAAAGCCCCGCCCTCGTCCTCGTCCTCTTCCTCCGTGTCGGATGCGTTTTGGCTCGAAAACGTTTCTTACGAACTTGAGTAGAGAGGCGCCCTGAATGTATCTTTGCCCCTAGGGCTTAGATTTGGGGTGGGGGTGGGAAGGGGTGCCACGTTGGACCGATGGGCTGGATTTTCGCTTGCATCCCTTATCCCTGAACTGAAAACCGGTTTCCATCTGTGTGGAGATGTGAAAACCTGAGTTTTTTTGAAAGTAGACATGCTCTCCTGCGGAGGAAACCACCTTAGGAGGGAGGAAGAAATCTAGTTTTCTTACGGACAATTTCTGGAAGCCAGCCTCTGAAGGATCATGGAAAGAACTGCACTCAGCTGCCCTTCACTTTTAGAGGTAAGAATTTATTTCAAAATGACCGCATTGGCCTAAGTGCTGCCTCTTATGTGCTATGTAGAGAATTCTCTTTGAAATAGCTTAACACCAAAGCCGAAAGATTCAGAAGCTTTGTTCATACACCTTATTGCTAGAACTCACTTTCTTAAGTTTATTTATTTCTTTACAAGCCTTACAACCCAAGTTGCCCAACCAACGGTGTCAACTTCTGCGATTTAGTTTTCGAAGACAAACATGCCGGCCATTCCCTTGTTGTACGAGTTCTGCACTTTATTTGACGTTACGTAAATGGACATGGAAATCGGTTAAGCCAAAGCACAAACTCAAATCCGTTTGCTTTGGGGTTCGCCTTGCAGCCGTACCCTTTGTCTTTGCTTTCTTACAACTCGTCAACAAAAGGAGTATTGGAAAGATTTCCCCGAGCGGTCATCGACTTCTTCCCACTGACAAACTTCTTGGCCGCCTGACAAAATAAAAGCAGGAGGTTTGGTTCGTAAACATATTGAACAATTAGCAAAGCCTGCTTCTTTCAAAATGCACTCTTTTTAAGTTTAAAGTCTCTTTTTAAATTACAGGTGTGTTGTGGCCCGCCAGCAGACTCGGACAGTGAGGAGGTTGGGGAGGAACATGGGCCAGTCCTGGAATCTGGGGAAGGTTCTGATGAGGGCTCTGTGTCAGAGGCAGAGAGGGGGCCAGAGCTGTATGCCAGTGTTCAGCTGCCTTCGGAGTCAGACATCAGTGGGGCAGACAAACAGCTGGAGCCTCTTCCCAGTGTGCGCATGCGCAGAGTTGCCAGACGAAGGAAACAGCTAAAGGAACAAGGGTCAACTAGGGGAATGGCCCCTCCCAGAGGGAATAAAAGAGGAGCGAAAGGGGAGTGGAGTTTGCAGGAGACAATTAGTTTATTCCTGCATTCTTGCCAAATATTGCGGTGTCTGAAAGATCTCGGCCTGGCCACTCTCCAAGCCTGATAAAGGTCAGTAATTGGGAACCATCTTGAAAGACTCTGGGAGAGGAAAGACTTTGCTGGAGAGGAATTAAATTAATTAAAAGGGGTTTATCGGGACGAGGACTCGGCTTTGTGCTGCTGGGGAAGCCTAGGTCAGAACAGGATAGTCCTTGACTTACACTCACAAGCGTGAATAGAATTTCCTTTGCTAAGCAAGGCAGCTGTTAAACGAGTCACATTCAATTTGCAACCTTTTTTTTTAAACCGTGGTAGGTAAGCAAACCACAGCAGCCGTTAAGTGAACCATGCAGTCATTAAGTGAATCTGGCTCCCCTCACCAACTCTGTCCGAAGCCAGCTGGGAAGGGTTGCAAATAGTCATCACATGACTCCAGCATATGTTGACCATTAAGTGCAAAGACTGCTCAAATCCCTTTTTTTTTTCAGGGCGATTGTAACTTCTTTGTCAGCGAACGGTCGTAAGCCGAGGACTACTTGCAGAGAGTCAGTCTTCCTGACATAAAAGCGAACCGATGCCAGCTCATTTTCTATCCTCTTTTTCTATTAAAACAGGCCTCCAAAGACAGTTAACACGGATGAAAACTAGACGCTAATGCAGAACGTGCCCGATTCCAAAGAATGGTGGTTTAATTTACGTTTACTTTGGAGTGTGCAAATTAACCACAGGCATCAGCCTCATATAGGCTGCAGTACGGGATCTCAGAGCAAACTTTGTCCCTCTGCACTGACGATGGGGTACCCGTGGATTCAGGATTCAGTCCCAGCTACGATTGTTCATCCTTTTCTGGAGGAAATCATTAAGACCCCAGAGGTGCCCCCGATTCCTGCCTATGAAAACGCAGAGATAGAAAACCGGCCTAATTTGATTTCTTTATCTTATTATAATGAAGACTGACAGGCGCCAGACTTACATTCACGACGTCAGCAGTGGTCACAGAGTCGATCTGTTCAACCACGTGGGCCGGAGAAGTATATGTCCCCAATGCTAACGCCTGGCTACCAATTTCATTCAGCAAACCTTCGGAAGACTCCACGGACATAAAAAAAGCCGCCTTCATTTGCTGCCTGTCAAGAAAAGGGAGGGAAGGGCAGGTAAGGACGGCAGCCTGCTCACCGTTCCTAAAAACGGCGTATCTTCAATGTAAAGCCAGGGATGTTTCCAGCCTTGTCAACGTTAAGACCCGTGGACTTCAACTCCCAGAATTCCCCAGCCAGCGTGGCTGGCTGGGGAATTCTGGAAGTTAAAGTCCACGGGTCTTAACGTTGATGAGGCTGGACACCCCTAATACAAAGCCACTGTATTTTTTAAAAAAATATAATATTTTTATTAATTACGTTTCTTAGCGCTTAATAAACATCGTGTTGTCTGGGTATTTAATTTGCTAAACAACACTGATTATATTCTTAATCTCTACCCCCTTTTTTCCCCCAACCACTGGTAAAGCTACTGGATTTTAATGAGATAGGATTAGGACAATTCGCACAGAAAAGTGACAAAGACACCTGTTGATTTTTACAAGTCAAGGTAGGGGTGGGCTTCAAAAGGTTCCCAGCAATGGGTCAACCCACGTTGCTGGGTGGGCGCGGCCTAGTTGGCCTTCTGCACCACCAGGGGTGGGGTGGGGGGGTGGGGTTTTCCCTCTCCAGGTTCGAGAGGTTTTTCTCGAGCTTCTGGGGAAGGGCAAAAAACTGGTGGGTTTATAGTGGGAGGGGCAGAGCCAACCAGGGGTGGCATTTGGGGGTTTGCCGAACCGGGCAGAATCCTAACTAGAGGATTGCCTGAACCTGTGCGAATCCCTCAGCAGCCCACCCCTGGGTTTCTCTTACTAATGGCACAAAGAATTGGTGCCATCCATTAGTTAACAAAAGCGTTTATTACCCAGTTTTGCTTTCGTTAAGCTTTTTAAGGCATTACTCCTACAATGCTGACGTTCTCAAAACTATGGTACAGTGGCTAGGTTAACTTGATCATGAGATAAATACTGAAAGAGTAGAAGAAAATGTGTGCTAAGGATAAAGCTGGAATATATTTCCCATTATTGTCACTTTGCTTTTCGACAAACATTTCCTTTGTATTGCAGTTGAATCCAAGGAGGTGGATTACTCTATAAAGGCTGTCACTGTGGCATTAAGGAGATTCTCTAAGGAAAGCAACATGAGGAAAGTCATCTGAGAAATTTCACTTGTGCAATGGGGAACAAATATAAGTTTCAATGAAATATCTCCAAAAGAAAAATGCCATAATCATGCACTTTGTAAAATCATGTAATAAATATAGATGTACGAATAAATTTGTAAAATCAGAATAAATAGATTTTGGATAACAGTATTTTTGCTCCTTTAAAAAAAACACAATTCAACTGATTGCAAAAAGAACAAATTGTTTGGCCACTCATCTCATTTACTCTGGACTGACAGAGCAAAAGAATCTCAAACAGACAATGCTCTTGAGACATCAGGAAGTTCTGCATTTAATCAGATGGGTGAAGTTGTTAAGGTGCCAGCCTAGAAACCAGGAGACTGTGAGTTCTAGTCTTAGCCTGGGTGATTTTGGGCCAATCACACCAGGAGGCGGCCAGTTTGAGTCCCATCTTAGCCACGAAAGCTGCTGGCTGGGCGACTTTGGGCCAGTTCCTCACTCTCTCTCAGCCTAACCCACACCTCACCAGGTGGAAGGAGGAGGATTATATATGTTCACGTTGAATTACTTATGGATTAATAAAGGGATAAAACTCTAACAAATAAACAAATACATAATAAAGACCACGTGCTCTATCTCGGTTACAACCTTGCTTCTGAATAGCACTTTGTTGTTCATTTTGGATGACAAATTTCACACATACAGAAAGATGTGACTTTTTTTTTAATACTCTGGCTTAATAAAGTTTCAGCAGACACATTATATTACACATAGCCATAGCTGATAGTCAAAAAAAATGTAACGGAAAGAAGGAACCACAATATTTTTGGAAAGTGAACAAATCACTGAATAACCAAACAATCTTGGGGGGACGGGGGGGGGGGAGGACACTTACTTGGCTCTTTTCACTTCTTCCTCAGTAACTCCGCCCTCGGAAACTGCCTTCACTTGATTCAAAGCAGCTTTGATTACCTTGACACAATCGTTACATATAAAATATGTTACTTTTGGCTGCAGTAACTGGAGGTACCCCATCCTCACAGACCTCCATTTTTCCCCTTAACATCCCTCCCAATGGAGTTGCACATTTTTGGCACGCCCACCCTGAGAAGGTACGTGAGAGTGCGAGCAATTCACAGGCCCCAAGGAGATCTAGCATTACGCCAGCCCTGATAACTTACCTCCCTGGTGACTGAAGCTTGAGCGATGGTGTATATGCCAAAAAGTCCAGAATCAGAGTAATTCGCATTGAATGCTGTTACCTGCAACAAAAGGCTGCTTCAGTTAGCGTATTCTAGCATATTTTCCCCCAGTATAACCTATTTTGAATACTGCAAACTGCTGGGCGTTCAGATGAAGCATTTGCTTACAAACTTAAGATTCTCCCTTAATGAAACCTCGGCAAATTAATTTTATGTACTTTTAGTTGAGGAATCTCTTCCTTTTCCGAAGGAGAAAAGCCTGTTTCTTTTAGTTGGTACACTAATCTTTGCGAGGAGTTTAGAAGATGCAGCTATTCCTGTAGGAGAGAAGAAGGAATGCTGCTTCTGATTGGCACTCAGGATTGCAAGGTATCTTAAAGGCTCGCTTAAAAAAGAAAACCTTTAAAAACTGATGATCAATGAATGAAAGACCATACAATTCAAGATTGTATTGCAGCCAAGAAATTAAACGACGCTTGCTCCTGGGAAAGAAAGCTATGGCAAATCTAGACAGCAGACTAGAAAGCAGAGACATCACCCTGCCAGTTGCAATGTACGACTGTCAACGTTGGAACATAATATAACCTCCCAAAGACCGATTCGATCGCACAGACTTGGCCTCCTCCGGATTCCATCTGCCAGCCAATGCCGGCTGGCGACCCCCCCGGGGGAGAGCCTTCTCTGTTGCAGCTCCGGCTCTCTGGAACGAGCTCCCCGTGGAAATCTGGACCCGTACTACCCTCCCGGCCTCCCGTAAAGCTACCAAGTCCTGGCTGTTCCGGCAGGCTGGTGGCTTTTGAAGTATCCAGCCCCACTTTATCTGTAAACGTTGTTG